TGTACATGTTAACCAAAAGAAAGCTAGTGCCACTATGTGCACTGTGTACCTAATAACAAGGCCTCAAAATATATAACACAAAATTGTTCATATTATATTAAATGTATTAATTTAGAATCACAGTGGGAAATTGTAACATACATCTCTTACTAATTAAATAACTAGACAGAAATACCAAAAGGATATAGGAAATTTATGATTAAAAGACAAATATGGAACACTGTAACCAACTGCATAACACACACTCACTTCAAATGCATATCGAACACATAAAAGCCTCTGTTTGGCCCAATACAAATTTTAACAGATTAAATCCATATATTTTATTTTCTCTGGCTATGGTATAATCAACCTAGACATCCATTATAAAATAATGACTACAAAATGTGAATGTTTCAAATTTAAAATGTACTTCTAAGTGGCCTTTCAATTAAAAAGAAAATCACAATGGAAACTAGAATGTTTATACTAAATAATAATAAAAATCCTCCACATCTAAAACTTGTAGGATTCAGTCAAGCATGCTTAAATAAGAATTTATAATCTTAAAAAAAATTTTTTTTCAGCTGTCGGACACAATATTTTTCCCCCCATTGGCCACAATACCTTTATTTTATTTATTTATTTTTGTGTGATGCTGAGGATCTTATTTTTCTCAAATCTCGCATGTGCTAGGCGAGTGCTCTATTGCTGAGCCACAACACCAGCCTGGGAATTTATAATCTTTAATGCACATGTTAGTTTGGAAAAATTAGGTAGACTTGATATATTGTCATTATTAACATTATGCAGAGAACTATTCCACAAAATTTCTCTGAAATCTATTCATTGCAGAGCAAGATTTTCTCTCTAGCAACACTATTCTACTGAATTCTAGCAGAATTTCCAGGATGTATTAATCTAATGGAACTTAGAAAATATCTAAAGGAGGGCTAGATTTAAACAGGCCTGTCACCAAAAAAGCTATTCAAATGTTCAATTAACATTAGAAAGTGTGTTTTGTTTCCTTACTAATTTCATTAGTAATCAGGAAATGCAAAGTAAAATAACTACTACACATATTGTACATGGACTCATATGAAAAACTAGCAATCCTAAATTTAAGTAAGAATGTGGAACAGTGTGAGCTCTCTAATACTGCTAGTAGAAATACAAACTGTTACAACAATTTTTGGTATAATCCACTAAAGTTTAATATAATACTATGGGTGATATACATCAGAAATGTATATACAAGTGAATCAAAAGACATGTACAAGAGTGTTTATTGCAGTGGTATTTATAATAGCCCCAAACTGGTAACAACCTGATGTCCTAAAACAGGAGACAGGTAAACAAATTTTTGTATTTTCATATAATGGAATATTCTATATAAAGATGAAAACAAATTATAGCTATTTGCAACCATATGGATAAATTTCACAAACATGTTGACCAAAAGAAGTCAGATGCACACACACAAGAAAAATGCCTACAGTATTACATTTATATGAAATCCAAAAAATATAACTTGGCTGCCTTTATGCGGGGGGGGGGGGGGGGGGAAGCACTGGGACTGAAGTGATAAAGGAACTCTTGTGGTACCAGAAGTGTTCTATTTCTTTGTCCTGGGTTGTTGTTACACATGTTCAATTTGAGATAATTTAATGACTGGCTGACTTAAGATTTGTTTACTTTTCTATATTTTTACTACACTTCACCTAAACAGTTTTAAAAATGCAGTTTTTTTAAGGACACAAAATTATGTCAAAGAAAACTAATCATTGCTTTATGAGGAAAAAAATGTCAGCCAATGTATAGTGCCCCTGAGAGCCCCTTTCTTTCCTCTGAGGTGGCCTCTTATTTTTCTCAAGTCTCTATAAAGGGAACATTTGTATTTCTATCTGAAACACATAGCACCCAGGAGATTGTTTGCAATAGTGCCATAATAATGTTGTACAGCTCTAAGTCATATATACTCTACTAGGAGAATAGAAAAAGCCATGGTTGGGTAATTATTTATCTAGTATCCCTTGATTGCATATCTGTCCTTTTATACTCTGCTCTATTAGTTGGGGCTGGGACTCTGAAAACTATTTGTCAATTGGCATCATGTTAGGTTCTGTCAAGCATAGAATGTATTAAAATAGGATTTTAAGTCACACTAAAAATAATAATGTTGTAGAGTATCAGACATTTGATCTTCAGACTGTGAAGAAAAAGAGTCAACATAAGCAAACTTTCTTTGTGATGTTCTTACTTGTTTCATCCAGACTAGGATAGATTTTATTGCTATCAGTTTGAGTTATTTTTTTCCTCATATATTTTTAAAGTGACTATTATTAGAACTTTATATAGTATCCTATTGACTCAGCGAGTATATCAATGTAATATAGGTTGTTAGAAATTTTGGCTGGCTAGTCTTACTAATTGGAAAACAGATTTGGTAGTCTGGATCTGTTTCTCAGTGGGTATTCTTTGTTGTATTATAACACTTTCTGTTGTTTCAAACTAGCCTGGCTTCTCCCAAATTTTTATTTGGTGGCACAATTACAGGGCATAAAAATGGTATGGGAAGTGTGGTGTATGTTTAATATCTATCTCTTACTATAATCTGTATTCATTTATTTTTTTAGGGGTTCTTTTTTTGCCATAAGATTTATTTTTATTTTTTTAGTCATACATGACAGCAGAATGTATTTTGACATATAATACATACATGGAATGTACATACATCAATCATAATGTCTATTCTATTCTGCTGCCCTTCCTTGTATTCATTTATATATGGATGTACATGTACATGTTTGGAAATATTTGGAAAGGTAGTGATGGTACATAGCTGGTTCAAGGAAAGGGCAGGTGTCTTGATATGTATACAGCCTGGTAAAAGGGAAACTGGTAGAGAATTGAAATTTCTATTATACAGTGAAAAAAGTGCTTTTATAGTCAAGTAATCACACCACAGATATTTTTTGAATTCCTTGAAATTGCATAGTGTTCAAGGCATAGGCAATACAATGGTAAATAAATTAGATATGAACGCTGCTCTCATGGAGCATACATTCTAATGTGAGACAAATAAATAAATTACACATGTATTTCATAACAATTGTGATCTGTGCTACTGAAGTATATAGAATATGTGAGTGATAACAAATAACTAAGCAATCATATAATTAATGGGAAAGATGTTTGAGCTTATTTCTAAAGAAGAACTTAATGGGAGATGATGGGGAGAGGCATAATTCCAGGGCATTACAGGAACATTTAAGCAAAAAAGTTTTCTTGGTAGGAAGGAATACAGTATGTCCCCAAACTGAAGAGGTCAGCACTACATTTATAAATGAACAACAAGGATATTCAAAGATAGTGGATTTGAATAGGACTGGTGTACCACACCCGGGGCAAAAAGGATGCAGGGACATCAAATTGTGTTAATAATTTTATTCATCATCTAAAAAATTGCAGAATATCACTAAAGGGTTGTAAGCACCTGTTCCAATGTTGGAAACAGCTTGTTTTTGTACAAAGAGTTTGTCTGGCAAATTGGACCTAGAGTAAGGATTATAGGCCCATGACCTTCTGGATGAACTTCCTCATGCATAAAATTGTACATTTGGACTAGATAACACTAAAGTTTCCTTTGGCTCTAAAATTTCACAAATGTCTCAAGCCAAAATATGTTACAGGTTACTTGATTTCTTGGGAAAATTTGTCCATATCTAGAAATGAATACCTTTTATATCTAATTATGAGCCATAATTTAATCTAAGTAAGTGTAATCAATGTTTGTAAGGATTAGAAAAGCAGGCAGAAAGGGGGCAAGATGGGGAAATTCAGCTCATCAGGTACACTTACAATTAAGGCAGCTAGTCTCAGTAAAAAAAACAGGGTGGGAAGGGGCTGTCTATCAGCAATCCTTATCTTCAAACAGTAGCTCTTCAGCATCCTTCCTCCATCATTTTTAACATATGTAATTGAAGTTCTTCACATTTATGTAATTTATTACAGTTTTAAGCATCTCAATACTTGAGAGATTTGCTCAAATTAAACCCTTTCTATTTTAAAACTCGGGAGCAATGCGTGAAGGCCATCCTACACTCTGAAGGACAGGGCTTGTGTGTGTGTGTTTTGGAGGAGAGGCAGGTAGAAATTAAAGTGTGAAAGCTAAATGGGACTTTGGGAATCACCTCTAAGGCATGCTCCTTATTTTACAGATGACAGCACAGAAACCTGTGAGGTGAGGTGCCCTTCCCAAAGTGATACTAAGTGGAGAGGCCTAGCCACAGTCCGGGGATCCTTCCAGGATCCTGGCTGGACTCTGAGGATTCCCTTTACTTCTCCCTGGAGCGTTCAGGAGGCTGGTTCCGAGCAGCCTCAGGACGCCTGGCTGCCTGCAGCTCTCCTCCCGCTTTCTCCCCCTGGGGAAGTGGCAAGGGCACCTGGTGCAAGGTGGGCATGGCGCCTGCCAAGAGTCTTTTGCGCTAGGAGAAGCGCAGTTTCTTCTGGATAATCGGAGACATCAAAACAGGCGGGGGCAGTTGATCGAGCCGCACATGATGATTGGCAGCCGCACACGAAGGGATCCCACCTAGCCGCACGGCCATGTCTCTGGGGAAGCTGAACAAGGACTTCCCAGACTTGGTGGTGTTGCCACAGTGGGCGGCCCCAAAGTGGGCCGGCTTGTTGGTCGCCTCAGGTGCAGGGTAGCCGGGGTCGGCGGCCCTCCCGACTTGAACACGCTTTTCGCTGCGACCTCAGCGCGGCGGGCTCCCTGTCACTTGTAGACTCTAGGTCCGGCAGTTTTCTTCGCTGCCTCGGGTCAACCGAAGTGCCGAACTGGGCTCCAAATGCGAAGGTCTTTGATATCTCCCTCCTCCTCCTTTTCTTTCTCCTTCCCGCAATGCTTCCCCGCCAGCAGGTAGACAGGCAGAGGGATACAAATTTCGCGCGGGCGGTGTTGAGGTGGGCCCTAAAGAGCAACGGACCGGAAGTGGTGGTTGTCATAGCCACCGAAGTGTCCAGCCTTTCCCCATCTAATCCTCTTCCCAGTACTCTCTCTCTCTGTTTTTACGAAGCCAAGGAAAACAGAACCAGGAAGTACTGACGCACCGGACCCTTACAAATACAACCAGATGTTATAACGACGGTTTGGGCCAGGCGATTTGGGAGGGGACCAGACCGGAAATGGTAGTTTCTATGGTAACCCCTGAGCGGGTTGCCTGGGAGATGACCTCTTGTGGTCTCTCTGAATCTCTGCTGTAGCGTCACCTAGAAGGCAGATCTAACATCCTGATCTGTCTCCTGCCATGATTCCCGGGAAATACCGCTCTGCTTCTGGCCGGACTGCAAACAACGTAGGTTGGGCCTTCCTATTTGGTCTTTCTTCTCATTGGTATTGTCCTTTCTGACTGGCGTCTTTGTCCTAGGTGATGGGCTGTGTTATTGGGACCAGGACCGCTAGGTCTACTCAAGCTATTGTCTGACTGAGGTTGAGGTTCCTGGGCTGGACCAAGGCGCTTGGAGAGTGTATAAATGTTGTATGATGAATGTTCAAAGTCTGGTCCTGGATCTGGGCTCCCCAGAAGGTGGAGCTGGTCTGCTGTGTAAGACGCAGGTTCATTTAAATTCCTTTTACTAGTCAATTTCTTTTCTTTTTAAATTGATAAAAGAATCTATTATTAGGTACGTCTACTTCCTTCACCTGCCCCATTTATTATTTATTTAGACCTGAAATGGTAACTGTCGAAAGCCCAGGATACCTCAGTGGAGGGTTAAATTGGTGCCGACATTTTGAACAAATCAGCAAGACCTTTTAATTCTTATGTGATTTTATTGATTTCAGCAAATTCTCAGAAAATTATCATTTACCCGAAACAAACAAAAATGGAGCATTCTATTCTATTCTTTTTTTTTTTTTGGTAGAGTCTTTATCCCATTTTGGGGAGAGTGTGTGTGTATGTACATAATTTAAGAGCAAATTTTATGGTTTAATTTTTATATTTCAGGTGAACTGTGGGCTTCATCTGGTTATTCAAACATCATCGCTTCCTGAAAAAAACAAAGTAAGATTTGAGCATATTAATATTTCAATTGAAGATAAATCATTTTATGTTCTATACCAATAGTACTGTGATTTAAAGAGTATATTCTTTTTTTTTAGTTGTAGATGGACACAATACCTTTATTTTATTATTTTTATGTGGTGCTGAGGATCGAACCCAGTGCCTCACACATGCCAGGCAAGTGCTCTACCACTAAGCCGTAACCCCAGCCCCAAGAGTGTATTCTTAACTGGAAACTTTAAGTATATTTGCTTTAGTCTCTAATGTAAAGTTTTTTTTCTGCCTGAATAAAACCAAAATTTGTCCTATTTTAAAAACTTAATGTCATTTCATTGATTACATGAGGTAAGTTTTTTGACACTTAAACATTTCTGAAATGAAGATCCTTCTTAAAATTGGTATCAGGTCAGAGGGGAAGGGAGGGGGCAGAGGGTTAGCAATGATGGTAGAATGTGATGGACATCATTATCCAAAGTACATGTATGAAGACATGAATTGGTGTGAACATGCTTTATATACAGAGATATGAAAAATTGTGTTCTATATGTGTAATAAGAATTGTGATGTATTCCGCAATCATGATTTAAAAAATAAAAGCAATTAAAAAATTGGTACCAGGTCAGTTTAATTGAGAATTTTGTTTAACAGTGGATGAAATAAGGATATGTTTTATTACTGATGACATCTTTTTTTTTTTAAGAGAGAGAGAGAGAGAGAATTTTAATATTTATTTTTTAGTTATTGGCGGACACAGCATCATTGTTTGTATGTGGTCCTGAGGATCGAACCCGGGCCGCACGCATGCCAGGCCAGCGCGCTACCACTTGAGCCACATCCCCAGCCCCTGATGACATCTTATACTGGTTAAAATGTGGTAATTTGGGAGCATATAACTACGCATTCCTTTTTAAAACAGGAAAGAAAAACTAGGTTAACTGGAAATATGTTAGGCTTAGTATTACTTAGAATGTTTTCAGACTGTTGTGAAAATGAGATTCTTTTTTTTTTTTTTTTGCCTTACTATTTGCCCATGATACCTGTGTCCTTTCCAGAATTTCTGGCTTTTTATTTGATTTCTAAGATTTTTGAGGTAATTATGTTTGTCTACCCCTCCTGTCTTACCTCAGCACTCAAAAATACTTACCTACCTCCCACACCACTGTTTTCAAGATGCTGCATCATGTTTCCTTTAACCAGATTGGAGAACTTTGACCATCACAATTCAGTTATTTCCTGAAAGGTTGATAAATTGATGTCATTGGAAAAATTTTAAAGGGCAGAGTTTACAAATAACAAGATGAAGAGGGTAATGAATGGGGTGAGTTTGAGAAGGGTGGGTGGAAGGACCATTATTCAAGAAGGCAGCAGTTGAACACATTATGTATATATATGAAAATGGTTGAACACTTGGAAGATAAACCATTTGATTTTCTCTAGTAAACACCCCTTAACTTCTTTTCATTATTATAATGGGACATAATGAATTCCCTTCAAAGCTTTCTTAATTCTACCATTCTAGTGTTTCTAGGAATTTTGTGTTTCATCCAGGTCCTTTCCAAACCATTCCCTTTCTCTCGTGTGGATACGTGTTATGGGAAAATACCATTAGCTCATATAATTCTTTAGGACATAATGCAAATGCTAATATAATGTTTATATTATGTATGAATGAGAAACATCACAATTCTTTTATACATATTTAAGGAGTTTTGGTGTCTAATCAACGAGGTTGTTTTGGTTTTGTTTTTCTCAGTTCTTCTACCAGATAATTATTTAAAATTAATTTAGTGAAAACCATTCTGAGGTTTAAATATACAATTTTATTATGTTATGATATAAGCAAAGTGATTTTTCAGCATCATTTAATTTTTATTTTTAGTGTGTGTTTTTCTTTTTTTTTAATTGAACAAATGATTCTTTTAATCATTGTATTTCTGGTGATAATGTAAAGACATTGGAAGTGCCTCAAACTGGAATTTGCTTTCCTCTGATCTCATGAAATGACTCTAATTTTATGTGTGGTAGAATACATATAACATTAAGTTTCCAATTTAAAACATTCTGAAGTGTACAACTGAGTGGCAGTAAGTATATTCACAGTGTCGTTGAACCATCATTTCTATCTAGTTCCAGAACTTTTTCATCACTCCAGATGGAATTTGATGTACATTAAGCAGTTGTTCTTTATTCCCCAGCTATTTCAAATCCATAGAAGCAACAAATATGCTTTCTATTCCTATGGATTTACCTTTTGTAGGTATTTCATATAAATGGAATCGTACAATCATATGTGGCTTTGTGTTTGGCTTTCTTTCACACAGCATGATGTTTTCAAGGTTCATCTGTGTTGTAGCATGTTATTATTTTTTTATAATTATGCTTATTAATTACTATTGAGTTATCCTCCAGACATTTTTCCTTAAATAATGTTTTTCAGGTTGAATTCAAGATTAATAGAGAAACATCATCATTTCCTGGAAGACTCTTACAACATGACCTTGAAAGAAACTACTCAAGTAGGCAAGGTATTGTCAGTTGAGTAGAGATCAGATATAGTTCATCTTTTTGGGATAATATTAATTGTTTAATAATGTTGAATTTCTAGATAGAAATAAACTTCAGTTAAAAATGAAATGGTTGGGATGGGGATATAGATCAGTGGTAGAGCACTTGCCTAGCATGAGTGAGCCCTTGAGTTCAATCGGAAGGAAGGAAGGGAGGAAGGGAGGAAGGAAGGAAGGGAGGAAGGGAGGAAGGAAGGGAGGAAGGAAGGAAGGAAGGGAGGAAGGAAGGAAGGAAAGTTTTGAAGGAAGGAAGGAAGGAAAGAAGAAAGTTTCATTAGTTATCAAATTGGTATTTGTTTAAATCAGAATTGGTTTGGTATATGTAGCACAATACATTATTTTCAATACAGAAAAAAATGTTATTTTAGTTTGAGAGTAGGCTACACTAGAGAATGGAGAATGTCCCAAATACTATAGTAGAACAGAAAAACTGGGTAATTAGGGAGACTAAGAATGTCAGAACACAAATATTTGGGAAATAAGGAAATAATGCAAAATGGAAAGAGAAGAGTGAAAAAGAAACAATCTCTATACTATTATTTACAATCATGAATATTTTCTATCAAAGGCCTTCAACTTCGGTGTATACCATTTGGGATCTTGTTAAAAATGCAGATTCTTAGTGCTCCCCCTTCATCTTCCCCATTCTGATTTTAGTAGGTCTTGGACAGGATTTTGAAATGTGCATTTTAATGATGCCTTAAGTGATTATAATAGAGTTGATTTGTGAACCACCCTTCAATAAGTACTGCCTAATATGATCTGGTTATATTTCTGAAATGTATTTTTAAATTAAGGAAAAAATCTTTTTAGCATATTTGAGTCATGATTGGTTGGTAGCTACTATGATGTGCCATTATTAGATAATTCAAAATTCTTACATACAGTACTACCTCTATCTCTTAGGAGTTTGTATGAGAGGGTTGATCAGTAAAGGCACCTAGATTTTCTATCTCATTACTGAATGAACTTAAGGCGATTTTGAATTAGTTTTCTCTTTTTGCTTTGGAACTCCTGGGCCTTCCTTTTGGATCTGTCTAATCTGGACTGTCTTTTCTCTTACATATGTCCTAGGCTCTTTTCTTGGCCGATTACTGAACTTGGTACTAACCTAATTATAGTTCTGTAATACAGGAAGCATCTTTCTTGCCATCTTTGATTCAGTTCAGTGTGTATTTATAGAGTCTGTAGTATGTGTCTGGCACTGTTTTAGGCATAAAGATATGCATGTCATCTAGAAATTCTCAGTTAGGGTTTTTTTATGCTTTCATTGTGAATTTCCTTCACATTTTTAATAAATGTATTTTAATTATTTTTTCTATAAATCATGAACCATACTTAAATACTTTCCCAAGTTTTCTTGAGTTATAGTAGGGAGTTGATATACTGATTTGTGGATGACTGGCTCCATAAATTTATTTAGTGATAACGAATTACCATGGGTCTGCTAAGGAGGAAATAATATGGATGTATTGATTTTTGTGAACCTGAGAAGTGAACAGTTTTATATGTAAGTAATGACCCATACAGTACAAATTAAAAATTTATATAGAGAAATATAAACCAATTTAGCTTTTCCTTGAAATATTTTATTCAAAATCAATAAATTAAGAATTTAAAACTATGTGTGTGGAGGGAAAGAGACACTGCTTGATTGCTAAGATCCTAATAAGTCACTGGGAAATAGAGTCAGGACTTTGGCTACTAAAACAATCTGAAAGATAAGGCTAAGTGGTACACATTTATGGCAATATACTATACTATCCATTCAGTCACCCATCTGACTACCACCCACTTGTGTGTCTATCCACCCATGAATGTAGAGTACATACAACAGAGTGAACATTTTTACCAATTGTGGACCATTATGCCTCTTAACACTTTGAGATACTACTTATGAATAAATTAATTCAGCATCTTTGTATTAAAATACAAGAATTTCTGATTTTCTTTTTAAAAGAAATAACACACACTAGATTTCCAATTAAGTTTTAGTAAACTGGAAAAATAATTTAGCTACTGATTGCCTACTGAATTTAGATGCTACCAAGAAGAAGTAAAGTAAAATGAGGTTCATTTCTTAAGGTACTTAAAAATTTAATTGGGAAAACAAAGGTTCTGTATTTGGTAAGTTAAATAGTAATATATGATTAAACAATAACAGAGGAAACATTTCAATGTAAAATTTTACCAAGTGATGTGGCATAGTGATGTGGTTATACACACACACACACATATGTATATGAATGAAAAAGTTTTAACTGAAGATTTCTCTGGTCCTCAGTCATTTAGAAGATTTTTTTTTTGAGACAGAGATGTCTTTAATCCATTGGATATTTGCTAGAAAAGTGAAGAATCCAAGTCCTTGTTATACAAGTACAAAGTGTTACAATTAATTCAAGAATTGCATATACTTTTTTTCCTGGGTTTTTGGCCTAGAAACAGAACCACCATTTACAATGTCCCTTCCATTAGGAAATGGAACTGAAATTCCAAGCTGAATTAGAAACTAACTTAGGGACAAAACACATTTGTAAGATCGGCATTTCATCTAAGATCTGGGGCAAACCTGGTAGGCTTTGCATTGTGACCAAACCCTAGAGGGATGAGAACAGAGATGGGACTATAGGTGTTCACCTGATAAGCAGCAATTAGAGAAATGCGATTTAAAACTACACAGAGATTCCATCTTATACCAGTCAGAATGGCAATGGTGGAAATAGTTTTGGAAAAACAGGGAGGATAAGAAGATGGATGAGATTAGAAAAGCTAAGACTAAGCACAAGATCATTTGTAAAGCAATTAAATTTTTTTAAGACAAAGAAAACGAAAAGGATCCTCAACCAGACTCCTAAAGCCCAAAAAGTAAAATCAAGAATCAACAAATGGGATGGAATCAAACCTAAAACCTTCTTCACAGCAAAGAAAACAATCAAGAATGTGAAGAGGGCCAACAGATGGAAGAAAATCTCTGCCACTTGTACCTTAGATAGAGCATTAAACTCCAGGATATATAAAAAACTCAAAAAACTTAACATAAAAAAAAAAAAAACCCTGATCAATAAATGGGCAAAGGGATTGAACAGGCACTTCACAGAAGGTGAAATATGAATAGTCAACAAATATATCAATTTCTTTAGCCATTAGAGAAATGCATATTAAACATATACTGAGATTTCATCTCACTCCAGTCAGAATGGCAATTATTAAGAATACAAGCAACAATAAATGTTGGCGAGGATATGGGGGAAAAAGTACACTTATAATTGCTGGTGATACTGCAAATTGGTGCAACCACTCTGGAAAGCAGTATGGAGATTCCTCAGAAAACTTGGAATGGAACCACCATTGGACCCAATTATTTCACTCCTCAGTATATACAAAGGACTTAATATCAGCATACTACGGAGATGCAGCCACATCAATATTTATGGCAGCTCAATTTGCAATAGCTAAGCTGTGGAACCAACCTAGATGCCCTTCAACAGATGAATGGATAAAGAAAATATGGTATATATACACAATGGACTATTATACAGCCATAAAAAGAATTAAATTATGGCATTTGCAGGTAAATAGATGGAGCTGGAGAACATCATGCTAAGTGAAGTAAACCAATTCCAAAAAACCAAAGGCTTGATTGTTCTCTTGGAAAACACAATAGGGAGGGAGGGAAGAATAGAAGTTCAGTGGAGCAAAGGAGAATGAAGGGAAGGGAAAAAGAATGGGAACAGGAAACACAGTAGAATGAGTTGGACATAACTTTCCTATGTTCATATATGAATACACAATCAGTGAAACTCCACATCATGTACTGTTATGCCAGATTCGTGGGACCCCAGTAGACCTCCAGGAGCCGAATCCAATGCAATCACACAAGAGTCTTTATTGAAAGCTCGAGCCTGGACTCACAACCATTTCAGATGCAGAGGTCCCGAGGAATAAGTCCTGGTCCTTTATTTAGTGAGATTTTATAGTTTTTTTTGGGGGGATACTCTATGCGCCACAACATCACACAGCAAATCATTTCATACTTGAGAAGGCAGCCTAACCCTAGAAGATTTTGTGTGTGGATTTTCAGGCCTTTCTACTGACTCAGTTTTTGTCCCTTGGTGATAGTAAGCTTATCACACCAATAGTGATTATGAATTTTGTGTATGATAGTAGCTAAAAGGAATGAGGATAAAATTATCTTATTCACTGAGTGTAAATGAATTTATTATTTTATTTTTTTTGCCTCTGCATTCCAAGTCTTATAAAGTTTTAATCTACTTCTTAAGTTCATGGTTGGCTTGAAGGCTTAAAAAATAATTCAAAAACCTCAACTCTAATGTTAACAAGAGAAATTGAGGTTGTTTATTGTCTTGAGTTTTTCCTTTATCATCTTTAGCTGACTGGTTATCTTTAATCAATCTTGTACTGAAGTTGACTCTTAGACAGTTTTTTGTTCATTTTTAGCCATCCAATTTTTTTTTTATTCCAAACCACTTTACTGAATCATGTTTGCTTACGTATTGTACCAGAAGGTCATCATGTCAGAAGATCAGTCTGTTGGTAAACATGATATCAATTTTTCTGAATGCTTATATTCTGGAACACCATTATTAATCATCTTGATATTTTATGCTATCCAAAAAAAGCAAGATGTGAGCGCTGATTATCTTGTTCAAGAAGCTAGGTGAGGGATATTTTAGTTTATGTCTTGTAGATCTGAAGAAGTTAGCAAATACAATGGTATTTGTTAAAAGCTTTACAGCTTTTTTTTTTAGTTGTAGATGGACATAATATCTTTATTTTATTTATTTTTATGTGGTGCTGAGGATCAAACCCAGTGCCTCATATGTGCTAGGCAGGCGCTCCACCACTGAGCCCCAGCCCCAGATCCTTTACAGCTTTTTAGTATGATCCGGTTGGAACTTGATTTTAAGTTGTTATTATATTGTCGGGCGGCCTCCAAAAGATAACTTTAGGTTCCTAGATTTGGTTTTCCTCTTTTGATTAGCTTGAGAAGTAGAATTCTGTGGTCACCTCAAGTTTTATTATTTATTGCTAGTTGCTTCCTTCAAGCACTTCCACATCAATTGCTGCTTTCAGATTTTTTTCTTTATAGAGGAAAATATGGTCAATTTCCTCTAGTAGTCACAGTGTCACCTTTGACCCATCACTTAAGTCTTGCTTCATTTTTGTAACTTTTCATCAGTTCTTCTTAATCCTCCTACATTCTTCTACTTCTTTGAGTATCTCTTAATATCTACCTCCCTTAAAATCTGTCTGTAACCCTCTTCATTAAGTGAGAAACACTTACGTGCAAATATATTATTTTTATTCTTCATTTTGTGTGTTTATTTATTAATTTTATATGTATATATCTACTAGATTAAAAGATGCTTAATGTTAGGGACATAATTGGCCAAGAACCCATAAACCTCACAGGGGTGTCATATCTGCTATGGACCTGAATTACAAGTGCACTAGATTTACTGACATCTATTTTGGTATCTTTGAAATAATATCTATGAATATTAGTTGAACACACACAAAAAAAGTGATGATGTGAAGTTACATCTGTGATCCAAAACTACTTTCTGTGTATTTTATATAGCAAAGTCTTGCATTATGAAGCATTGTGATAAACTTTTTGATATTTTGAAGGAGATGGAAGAGTAATAAGTCCTTCGCTTCGTTATAAATCATCATGCATCTCATCCACAACAAACGTGACAGAACTATGTGGGCTGGAAATGAAAACTGCCACAACCTCCTTATCAGCATTTGGAGATTCTTCCATTCAGACACCTTCAAAGTCCAGAATTCGTCAGGGATGTCATAGTGCTGGCCCAAATGTATCTGGTAATGAGGGACTATCATCTCAGTTATTAGTGAGTTAAAATTTATTACTAGGGTTCAGAATTATAAAGGGATAAAGATAGCACTAGAGTAGTTCTGTATTTTCAACCAATCTTTAAGGCAAGGGAAAAACCTAACATGTAGTTTAGGTTTGAGGAGGAAAGAAACAAGCTCAAATTTAGTAATTAATTTCAAATATGGAAAACCATGGAAACTTCCTAGAAAAGATGTTTGTAGGTGTCAAAGTTCTCCAAATATAAGGTAACTTTATTTCCAAAATTTAAAGGTTTGTCATAATCAAGTAATTTGTATATCATTTTCAATAGGTGATCATATTAATTTGGTGAGCTCATCAATGCCATCATTTCCTATTCTTCACCGTTCTTCTGAAGAGAAAATTCTTTACTCAGACAGATTGACTCTAGAAAGGTGAGGACAATTTTATCTATCTATCTATTTATTTATTAATTTACCATTTATTTTTTCTAGCTAATACATAGACATGGTACAAGATTTGAAACATGTGAAAATCTTCCTTTATATTTCTCAGCTGTCCCATTATCCTGCTAAATATAGTCCTTTTTTTAAACCACTTTTTTATCCTGCCAGATGTATGGTGAGGAATTTTATATCTATATATAAAAGGACTTGACTATACTCCAAAAGAGTACTATAGTGATTCCAAAATATAGTTATGTTAGTCAGTTTTGCATTACTGTATCAAAATTCCTGAGATAGTCAACCTAAAAGGAAGAAAGGTTTATTTTGGCTCATAGTTTTGAAAGTTTCATTCCATGGTGAGTTGGTCCCATTGGTTTTAGGCCTGTGATGACACAGTATATCATGGAGTGTGTGCATGGTAAAGCAAGCTACTCACCTCATGGAGTGTGAGAAGAAAAAGAGAGAAACAGGAAGGGATCAGGGTCTCAATATCCCCTTCAGGGCATGCCCTTGATGACCTAAGAACTCCCACTAGGGTCCATCTCCTACAGGATCTACCACCTCCCAATAATGCCATAAGATGGGGTCCAGGACCAAGCCACTAACACACAGGCCTTTGACACTTATCCAAACCATAGCAATGACATTGATGAAAATGGGTTTTTAAATAGGAAAAAAAAAGACTTGTGGTCCTCATGTGGACTTATTGGGCCCAATCTCCTTCTCTCACTCTGCTGCAGTCACACCCACCTCCTTGTTCCTTGAAAACACCTCATATCTGAGGGCTTTTGTGCTTGCTGTTCCCTTTTTCTGGAAGGGTCTTTCTCTTTATATCTATAGGCTCACTCCCTTACCTCCTTCAGGTCTTTACTCAGATGTCTCATTTTAGGGATGACTTCTCTGGCCACCTTCTCCAAAAGTACAACCCCTTCCACCCTGACATTGTTCAGCCCTCTTCTCTGCTTTATTTTTCACTTAGCATTCTACAACACATTAAATAACACATTAAATATTTACTTATATTTATTGTCTGTCTCCTCTTACTAGAATGTAAGTTCTACAAGCACAGGGATTTTTATTCATTTCTGTATCCCTGGCACCTAGAACAGAGCCTGGTACAAAATAGGCTTTTGATAAAAAAGTTAATAAATGAATAAATATATTTAGGTCTTGATATCCATCTTTATAGCTAAGAAGGTATCCATATTAGAATGGTGGATGAGATCCCAACTCCCATCCAAGTGCTATAACCAGCACAGTAACCAGCTCTGTTTCTGTTCATTTAGCAAGTCCACATCTGACACAAATTGTAATGGACCACCTGTTTGTTGTCAGGGAAAAAAAGCTCTCTGGAGGGTCAAAGAGGGTCTGTTGTTCTTTAAGCAGGTCTCTTAAGGCATTTTTGGAAGATTAATGGATTTTGAGATACTAATACTACCTAATGTTTGTAACTTTCAGAATATAATTTTAATGTTTTAAGGTATTTTGTGGTAATTTTCCTCTTAGTCTTTAAAAACCTTCCCAAGAATAGTATCTCAGTTTCATGTTACTTCATATTAATAGGTGCCAGTAAGACTGTGACATAACAAGTTAAGTGCTTCTGTTGTAGCTGGGGTGACTTGGCAAATGTGAAGATGGATCCTTGGAAGCATATCTTCTGGGGTGGAGAAGAAAACTTTGATCAGGTGGAGACTTGCTTATCAAGAAAGTTAGGATCTGGGAAAGTCATTGCTTCAGAGACTGGTTGTGAAATATTGGCATCATAAAGATGTCATAAATTTAGGCATAGTTTGGAAAGTCCAGAATGGGCAGTCAAGAAAGTTGGGCCAGCAGCAAGGAACTAACTCAGGATTGATTATTTGAGAACCAGTGGGTAACAGCAGTGATCTCTGTCAGGCCTTTGACACTTGTCCAAACCATAGCAATGACATTGATGAAAATGGGTTTTTAAATAGGAAAAAAAAAGACTTATGGTCCTCATGTGAACTTATTAGGCCCAATCTCCTTCTCTCACTCTGCTGCAGTCACACCCATCTCCTTGTTCCTTGAAAACACCTTATATCCTGGCTTCTTCTTAGCCAGGAGACTAAGGGGTCAAGAATAGAATCTAGCCCTAAGAAAGAGCGAGGCCCTGGCTGTTCTGGCTGTTAGGGCAGGTCTGGAATACCAGGAAGACAGCCTGTCAACACCAAGAAGAAAACAGGAGGAAAAGCATAATTTAGTACTTGTGCATTACCAGCATGTGTAATGTACCAGTGCATGATATGTGCAGTAATGGGTAGGAGATGTAGCAACCCATGGGTTTTATGGGCATAACAAGCTCCCTTGAAGGGCACTGGGACATTGCTTATTGTGTCTGTTTGCTTGCTTCTTTTGGTGGAGTGTGACAAGGTTACAGGGGGTGAGCTTTGGAGTTGGGACTCTGACATTGTGTTTGGAACCAAGCAATTTTATAAGGGTAGGAGGTTTTTACTTTTCCTATCTCAGCAATATCTGATTCAAGAATTGGATGAAATAGAAGTTGTGGGGTATCAGTAAGTTTAACTGAGAAATGGAGACAGATAGAAAAAGGAAAAAGGAAATAATTTAAGTTTTTGCTAAGTTGGTGCACAAAGATAAATTTTAAATTAGAATACTTATGATTTATTAATTTATAATTTATATGCCAGAAGGACCAACTGTGGAAGTATAATTTAATGTATTATATAAAATTTAACTATTATCTGCACATTCAAGGGATTCAACTATCACTTAGTATTTTCACTTTTCTTCTATTTTGAACTAATTTCCTTAAGCTTATTTTTTTAAAAAATATTTTCTTTGTCAATCATTAACATTCACTGATTTTTTCTGTGTATCAATTTTTTTCATATTAGAATGATTCTGTTCACTTCCATTTTTCACTTGTGCTTGTAGCAGTCTGATACATTTTTATTTAAAGCTTATGTTAACTTGATTTTTATTAAGTGGAAATATTTCTAATGAGCCTCCCCACTAGAATTGTCTACATACAAAGCTGTATTTTCCTTGAAGTCTTCTTTGGACTTCTAAGAGTAGAATCATCAGTACCTCCTATCTGCCCATATTATTTTATTGGTAAAATTCTTGAAGGGCCTTGTTGTTAGGGTCTGTAAACAAGTCAAGATGGCGCCTGGCATTTTGCCAGAGGGAGTGGTTTGTGAAGTAACACCAGGGAGCCATTAAGTGTGGAGATTCCTTATTGGTTGACTGCTGTATCTAGTTTATGTTAATTAAGATAAGCTGGTGTAATGTATATATACCCCTCCTGTGCTACAATAAACGGCTCCCACTCCTGCTGTGTCAGTCTCCACAAATTGCTCATCACCCCCCCCCCCCCCGTTATTTTGCTGCAGCTGGACTGCAACACCTTATACTTATTTACTTCACATGTGATAACCTTGTACTTATTTACTTCACATGTGATACGTTATAACTTTGTGCATACAAGAGGCTTACTGTTTTAAATACAACTAAAGACGAATATTATTGAAAGTTTTCCTACCCTTATACCACTCTAATTGTTTGTGGCAAAATTTAGAGTTAATTAAATTTAGCATTTAAGTTTTTGAGGAAATATTCACTAAGGACTACCTTACTAGTAAGAAATTTCAGCTTAATTTTTTTTTTTCATTGAAGTGAACAGTAGTTGGCTGAATTTCTTGCTTTTATGAAAATTTCCTGTAGCTTATAAGCCTATGAATCTAAGAAACTCTTTCATGTGGTTTTTATTCTGATGACTTAGTGGATTGATGCCAAAGGCATTTATTTCTATAGTAATTTGCCATGGTTCTTTCTACCATCTAAACATCTATCACAGAAGACAGTTGAAAGTTTTCTGATGTTAAGTCAATTTCATGTGAAATAACTGACATTGGAGGTTTTTTAATATGATTAGAGCTTAGACTTAATTTTAATAATTACCTTGTCAATGTTTATTGGTGTTTCTTAAATATAAAACATATAGTATGTGGGAGCTGGTAGTTGTCCAGCTTACCTTTTTTTCCTCATAATATGGGAGTGCAAAGATACTAATATTTGACAGGAGACTGGCTACTAAATCAAAATCTTACTGACTTAAATTTTTTTTTTCCCTAGGCAAAAGCTAACGGTTTGCCCTATCATTGATGGAGAAGAACACCTTCGTTTGTTGAACTTTCAGCACAATTTTATAACTCGGATCCAAAATATTTCAAATCTACAGAGGTTAATATTCTTGGATTTATATGATAACCAGATTGAAGAAATTAGTGGGCTTTCTACTCTAAGATCTCTCCGTGTCCTTCTCTTGGGGAAAAACAGGTATTCTTAATAGAAATGTCTTTATTTGTAATATAATGTTATGTATAGGACTAATGTTGAGTCCTGTGGTGTTTAGATAGACAGTTCAGAATTGAATAAGATCTTAGAAATTATTAGACTAAACTTTTGAAAGAGTTTTTGAATGGATTGTGTTTTGGTGGTAGAGTGTTTGTTTACCATGCGTGAGGCCTGGCTGAGTTCAGTCAGTCCCTAGCATCACTAGGAAGAAAAAAAAAAAAAAAGATTAAATTTTAATTTATTTTATGAGATTCATTCTGAAAATGTGTCATATAAAAAACATTCATTGAGTATTTTATTTTCATTGCTTTCCAGTGTCCTATCTTATAAAAAAGACTTTGGCCTTGAATTTGTGCTTTCTTAGGACATGTTTTAAGCATGTTTGTTCCCTTTAGCCTTCTGTGTTTCACTTGCCATACCTCTTAGTATTTGACTAAAGTTGGATACTCACTACTTTGTGATTGTCAAATCAGTGACTGATTTTTTTCAGATGGTTATTTCAGTATGAGTTATTTAATATTATATTTTGTATACTTCCTATTCCTTTTATACAGCTCTATTATATAGTATAGCTATACAATTCCTAACACATTTCCTTGAGATTTGTTCATGACTTTTCTCTTTATTCTTCTTTACTAAATAGCTTTCCCCCTTTTATTGTTTTTTAAAAATTATATATAACATTGGGATTCATTTTTATATAATTGTAGGGGCGTGGAATATTTGCTCTAATTCAGACCCTATTATTCCTCCTTTCCTTCCCCTCTTCCCTGACCCTATTCCTTACCTTCTACTTTACTGATCTTTCTGCTATTTACTTTTAGTTTTTGTTTTGTTTTGTTTTTGTTTTTAGTTAGTATCTTGTGGATATACATAATGGTGAGATTCACTGTGGTGTTTTCATATACATAGGAGAGTTAGGTTAGATTTATTCCACTGTTCTTCCTTTATCCCATCCCCTTTTCCTCCCCCTCAATCCCTTTCATCTAGTTCACTGATCTTTCTTCTATTTTGATGGAATCCCCCCTTCTCTTTTCCCCTTTATTTTAGTTAATCATTTGTATGTGGTGCTGAGGATTGAACCCAGCTCCTCACATATGCTAGGCGAGCGCGCTACTGCTGAGCCACAACCCCATCCCCTTCCCTTTATTTTTGATTAGCTTATACCTATCAGAGAAAATATTCAACCATTGACTTTCTGAGTCTGGCTTATTTCACTTAACATGATAAATACCTACAAAGAAGGGCTGTTTAATAAAGTCCAAAAATGAGTAATATCTTTTCTTCACCCATTGCAAGGTTTACAACTGACATCCTGATAACAAAGATGATTATCAAGAGAAAAGCATAGCACATTTACTTAATATAAGTTTTGTGTGACATAATAGTCCTCAGAAATTAAGATCCAAAGAAACAGGGAAAAGTATTTATTTTTATGCTTAGGTTTAATCGCAAGTGGACACTCATGTAGAAGTGTGATGGGGTGTGATACAATGGTGATAAACTGGGGAGAGCTTAGTGAGACCTTTTTGTTCAGATTCTTCTTGGTGTCTGTGTTTTTATTCCTTTCTTCTGGTTATAGGGCAGACCCATCTGTATTGAGAGTCTTATTATATCCTTTCAGGGGAGGTAGGTCAGGTATTTTTTTGTGGCTTTATGGTAGAAAAGTGAGAGAATGTCAGAGAGTGATCTTCCTGCTTCTATATTTCTGTTTCCTTTGTTTTAAAATACTCAGTATACCAAAGTGCCATGTTTGTGTTCTTAGCCTGGCACTCTTTATTTTCACGGCCCAATGATAATATAAAATACTTTTTCCAAGATCATGTTTCATAGTTTTAAAATCTCCTTTGTCCTCTGTGATTTATTACCCACAATTAGTTCAAGTGTTAAATTTTAAGCATTATGTAGTTTGAGGGAATCTGGAGGAATTATAGAATCACAGAATATTAGAGCTTGAAATGACACTCAGAGATTAGCTCTCTCATTTTGCAGATGTAGAAATGGAGAGGTCAAGTGAATTTGGCAAATTCAGATGTGTACAAAATGTATGCAGTAGGAGTGTGCCACCATAGCACTTCACTGGGAAATGTGAGAAAGTTAGCTTATCATGCGTTTACATGGTTTTCCCTGTCAGGTGCTGCTGTTATCTCTCACCAACATTTCTTTACTACTTTCTGAGTTCTTTATCTAGCTTATATTGATTCTTTAGTACCACTGTCTTTATATCCTTGATTTAGTCTTTGGGTCATTTTCTTTTTAATATTTTATTAGTTGTTGGTGGCCCTTTATTTATTTTTTTATGTGGTGCTGAGAATCGAACCCAGTGCCTCACATATGCTAGGCAAGCGCTCTACCACTGAGCCACAACCCCAGCCCTGGGGTCAAGTTATTTTCTAAAGATATTTTTAATCTTCCTTTCTGGTTTTAAGCAGTATCTAAGTATCTCTTCCAACAATTTGAAATGGTCTCTGCATCTTTTGTTTTTTTCCTACTTCTACTTTTCTGCTTCTCTGGCTTCTAATAACTTGTGGGCTGGGGATGTGGCTCAAGCGGTAGCGCGCTTGCCTGGCATGCGTGCGGCCCGGGTTCGATCCTCAGCACCACATACAAAGATGTTGTGCTGCAGTCCGGCTGGGGCGGGGGGGGGGCATTTTGCAGACTCTAACAATGTTGTATCCGCCAAAATCTAAAAATAAAATAAATGTTAAATAAAATTCTCTCTCTCTCTCTCTCTCACACACTCTCTCTTTAAAAAAAAAGAAATAACTTGTTTGTTTTGATAACTTGTGCCTAGAAGACAAAATATGTCTGCCCTTATTTAGGGTCCCTTTGATCTTCTAATTATAAGGGACTTAATGACCTTCTACTGTATCCTTATCTCAGTGAAGTAAAAGCAACTCAATACCAACTCTTACTCCTTCTAATTTTCCATCTTCTTTTGTTGTTATTGTTTGTTTATTTGTTTGCTTTTGGTCATCTTTTACTTTATTTTTCATGTAAGGTAGCTAAATAGTACTTCTAAATAGTAGTAAACAGTTCTAGAACTGTTTGTGTTCTTGACTCAGAAAAAAAATGAGTCAAGATAACTTTCCACATCCTCCTAAATTGCTTATTTCTGATCCCTAAGACGTATGTCAGGTGCCCTCTAGCCAGCTGACTGTCATAGTAAGGGACATGTGAACAGTTAGGATGCAGATCTGAAGAGGATATTAGGAAACCTGGCAGAGAATTGTGGTGAAAAGGGAAGCACATCAGCCACTCTGTCTCTTCCTGTTTGTCTCAGGTGACTTCTTGCCCCTCCTGGTCAAGTCCATGAAGGTGTCTCCCTCCCACCTTGCAAGCCACTGTACCATATTTTAGTCCAAAGCAGTAAAACTACATACAAAAATCTTAAGCAATTACATGCTTCTAGGCTCACACAGCCCCAACAAAACTCTCTAAAACTAGAAAGACCCCTGCTCAGATTTTGTGTGTGAAATTGATGTTATTACCAAAGAACTCCCAACCCTACTTTGCTGTTAAAGTTCTTGCCTTCTAATTTTTCTGCCTTGACTACTCTCTGCTTATCCTCTCCAAATTTTCTGGTGTCCTCATGATCAAGGACTCATGAATAGAACTCTGTCTTCTTCTAGGATCATAGGACTATAGATATAAAACTCTGTCAGACTCTGGGATCCTGTGTTCCTTTCCTTTTGACTCCTTGAAATTTCTCATGTGAGGACTTGTCTCTGACACCTAAACAGCTGAGCCTTCATATAGTCCTGTAGTAGGGCCTTCATCCTGGCATCAGTAACATAATGTGGCCTGCGAAGCTGTGATATATTCCTGGAGGTCTGTAGCTACCAAGGTAAGGGGTGAACCTAGTCTATTTCTAGGTTCAATTTCTGTCCTAGAGAATTAAAAAAAAAAAAAAAAAAACATTTCAGGTTACATTGCTGTTAATGTGAAAATATTTAGCAATTTGGCAACTGACTAGGATTCTGAAAATTCTTCACATTAATACCCAATCTGACCAGTAGCCTCTTAGGTCAAATGATACCTTCATTTGCTTCTGAAGTCTTTAAAATTGGATCCATTTTTAGGATATTTCAGGTACTGGGGGTGAGGAGAGAATCCACGACAAAGGCAACTAATGAGAAGATTGCACGACGTCTCCCGGGTCTTTAGTTTTATTTATTGAGTAACAGACTACATTGATTCTCTAGATGTGAGAACTTTGAGCTAAAATAATCTCTATTATCCCTGGTGTATTGTTTTCAAAATGATAAAATATAATTCTCAGAAAACTAGATAGTAATCACAGACCAATATTTTAATTAGTTCTATAATGCAAAACCAGAAAGATGACAAAACTAGAGGCTGGGGATGTGGCTCAAGCGGTAGCGCGCTCGCCTGGCATGCGTGCGGCCCGGGTTTGATCCTCAGCACCACATACAAACAAAGATGTTGTGTCCGCCGAAAACTAAAAAATAAATATTAAAAAAAAATTCTCTCTCTCTTTCTCTTAAAAAAAAAAAAAGTTGCTTCTCTCAGCCTCTGTTTTCGCATTAGGAAAATGAAAGCTAATGTCTATTTCAGAGAATTGTGAAGATTTGCAGGATTTGATGTCCCTCTTTAAAAAAAAAAAGATGACAAAACTAGCTCAAAAAAGGGTAGAAGGAACTGATTATCAATGTTTTAGCAAGCCCTCCAGGTAAATATGATATACAAAGAACCTTGAGAACCATTGTTTTAGGGAATGTCAGCTTGGGAGCATTACATAACCCAATAAAAATCTTTGTTAATAGCTGAGGTCAGATTGCCTTAAGAAAGCTCGACTCTGTTGTAAGCCAAATATTTTAGTAGGATATTGTAATTTTTCTCCAAATGTTCTAGGTATTTTAAGAGTAAAGCAGGAAGAGGAAAACTTTTGTAGAATTTTTTATCTGGTTCCCACCAGATTCTTGAAACATTTAGTAAGGTAGAAATGTTTTTTGAGGAAGTAAATAATGACAACAGCAATGAGTAGTGATAGACACATGATAAGAAGGATAGATTGTGTGAGATTTTGTCCTTTCTTTGCCAATTCTCCATCTCTGTACTGAACAATGGTGGTAGGATAAGGTAGAGTCTCTAGGAATAAGAAAAAGTTGCTCGTATTCCTTGCTCTTATTGTAAGAAGAGTCCAGTTGGGGATAGTTAGACAGGTAAAGTAGATATAAGACAGGAATGAGAGGGATAATGGGTAAGCTTATAAGAGGGGCTAGAGGAGGCATTTTAAAGGTAAAAATGTGTTTTTCTTTTTTTAAAATAGGACCTTGCTATATTGCCAAGACTGGCTCTGAAATAAAAAGTTCTAATTAAATTTAAATGTTTTTACAAAGCAGGTCTAATAGAGAGCATTTAGATGGTGCATAATTGTGTAATAATTCTATAATGGAAAACCTTAGAACATTAAACTTATCCATTTAATTATTGTGGTCATTCATTTATTAAACTAATATTTATGGGCACTTACTTGGTACTTTACTGTATGAGTGCTGAGACTAGAGTAGAGAACATGTCAAAATTTCTTTCTTCTTTCTTTTTGAGTACTGGGGATTGAACTCAGGGACACTAATCACTGAGCACATCCCCAGCTCTATTTTTTATTTTATTTAGAGACAGGGTCTGAGTTGCTTAGGCCCTCGCCATTGCTGCGGCTGGCTTTGAACTCGACATTCTCCTGTCTTAGCCTCCCAAGCTGCTGGGATTACAGACGTGTAGCATTGCATCCAGCTTTCTTTCCTCTTGAAGTTCGCATTTTGATATGGTCACAGCGATGATAAAATAGTATACATGTAAATAAAATAATTTTAGGCAATGCTTAATGCTATAAAGTCCATTAAAACTGGGGAAGGAGAGCATAATGGGGATAGGAAGGATAGCTATTTTTAGATAGAATCATTTCTGAGATGTTTGAGCTAAAACCTGAATAATATGAGGTCATGAACCATGTGAAATTCTGGGAGAAGAACATTAAAACAGAAAAAACAGTAAGGGTAAATAATTTAAGGCAGAAATAAACCTGTCAAGTTAGAGGCACAGGAGAAAATGGCCCTGTGACTAGAACAGAGTGAGACAGTGAGCCTGTGGTAGAAGAAGCTGGCAGAAGAGTCAGCGGCCAGATGGTTCAATGCCTTATAGGCAGAAGTGAGGAGTTCAGATTGTATTCTTAGGTGAAGGGAACTACCTTGAGTCAGAGCTTTGACCTAAGGTTCTTAGAAATAGAGTTGCTTTTCTCTAAATGTACATTTTTATATCTTTCCTCCTAATGCACTGCATCTTTAAAATATAATTAAACCAAAGAGAAATATGTTGTTTAATACATACATTTATAACTATTATATGTATTTAGAGAGATAAGAGAGTAAATTAAAATATTAAAATGTAAATGCAAATATAAAATATGTGCAACTTAGCACGCTTTGCTTTACTGATAGATGTGACATACACACATTTCTCTTCAACTTATTGTACTTATTTTGATTTTCAGAATCAAGAAAATCTCAAATTTAGAGAATCTAAAAAGCCTAGATGTTTTGGACCTTCATGGAAATCAGGTATTGTTCAGCCCGTTTCTTCTTTTGAAACAATGCCCGAGAAATTTGGTATTGTAAAAGTTTTAAGAATCATACACTGAATTTTTCAAGAGTTACTTTACTGGGTCATTGAAATTAATAGGATATTAAGCTTATTTTTTTGCAAGATATGATAATTCATTAGCAGTTAATTGATTACAAAAACATTTGGAATCCTTATGGTTACAACTTAATTTTCTATTTATTTTTTTAGTAACTTAATTTTAATATTCACATTACACAACCCTAACTCAAGAACTAGAATATTACTGACTTTATGCTACTTAAGTGTTTTTCTTTCATTTTATAACCTTATTTCTTCATCAGAGGTAACCACTACTTTGTATTTCACACTACCATTCCTTTGTGGGTTTTTAATTGATTTCTTCTTGGTAAGGAATTGAAGGAATTGGTGTTTTATCTTATAGCACACTGTTTAAAAAACTATAACATAAATGAAACATTTTATAGTAGCAATGTTTTCTTAGGTTTATTTTAAATTATATATGTGAGAAATATAAGACATATTTCTGTTTTTCAAATTACGGTATATCTTTCAGAATTCATAGGAACTATCCAGGATCTTAAAAATGCACCTGGTAAATAAATGCCACCATTCAGTCTAAACATTACCAACCATTATGTTGATGAAAAATGCTCTATTTCTTGTTAGCTCACCTGTATTATATATCTTATATTTCAGCATGTTTGTGATATTCTGTGTATTAAGAATAAATTTTGTACTATATGAATTATTTCTCAAGGTTCAAATGAAAAATCTGGGTCTTGTTTCAAAATAGCTGAATCCAAAAAGCAAAAGTTTGGAATATTTCAATGCAAAGATGAATAGTCTTAGTGACCTTAGGTTTCTAAAAAGTTAGAAGATAAACTATTCAAGTTGACACAATTAATGTCTGGTTCTAAAAATTTAGCATCACATAGTAAAACATGAACAGAAATTAAGTGAATTTTTTTCTTTTGAATTTACTTCCATTGGAAATAAAAATCATTTAGCGCACATTATAAAATAAAACAAATTTGATATGTGGATATAAAGATGTTCTGAGGAATGATGATGGTATTCAGGAAATGGATTGGAGAATGGAAAAGTTGGAGAGGGGGATCTGTCTTCGGACAGAGAACAGTTAAGAGGATAATCATAGTAATCTTGGTGAGAAGTGATGGTGGCATAAAAGTAGTCTTAGTGGGGATTTAATAAGGACATAATTGAATAAGTGTTTTAAAAGTAGAAAAATTAAAAGATAGCATTTGGTATGACTTGAGGAATCTGAGTAGGTTGACTCTCAATTCTGATCTGTATTCTGTGTTTGTGTTAACTTTCTAAAGAAGGAAAGATTTATCTTGGCTCATGGTTTCAGAGGTTCTAGTCCATAGTAAGCTGGCTCCATTGCTTCATGGACTGTGATAAGAAGGGCATCGTGGCAGGGAAGGGGTGGTAAAGCCAAGCTGCTCACCTCATGGTGGCCATCAAGAGAAGGGAAGGAGCGGAAAAGAAGAGAGTGGGGACAATATATCCTTCAAGGACACTTCCATAGTGACCTATTTTCTCCAATTAGGCCCACCTCCTAAAGTTTCCTACCACCTCTCAATACACCAGCCACTGGGGACAAAGCCTTGAACACGTGAGCCTTTGGGGGACATTCCAGTTCTAAACTATAATGGTGTTGGTCTTTCTGATTTTGTTCTCTTAGGGATGCTTTAAGAAAGCACAAATGCTTCAATAAGACTCCATTTTTTCAGGGATATCTTTCTCAGGGATGAGGTGAAGACCCAAAGAAAGGATGAGGTGAAGACCCAAAACATCCTTTAGGGAACATCTCAGTGACCTAAAGATCTCCCTCTAGGCCCCACTTCTTAAAGGTCCACTGTACCTCTTAATACTACCTCCCTGGGGACCAAGCCTTTACATATGGACTCCTAAACCATAGCCACAGATCAAACAATTAGTACCTTCACTTTATATATTTATATCTTTCTTGAATTCATAGAATTTTATTTTACATATTTAAACATTGCTTCTTTTCCATTTATGTTTATTATAGTCACACTGCTTGTTTTCTATATTCCCATCTTATCTTTTTTCTTCCCGTCTCCGTTTTTTCTTTATATTTTGGGAGAATTTCTCAAACTTGTGTTAAGATTACTGATATCTTTTTCTACAATGTCTATTTTGCAATTTTACTAATTCCATGCATTTCAAATTGTATCACCTATTTAGTTTTGATATATTTTACTCTACATCTTATTATATAGTTGTGCCATCTGCAAATATTTATAACCTTGTTTGTTCTTTTCCATTCATTTTATATCAATTAGAAAAAAAATCAAAACAAATTTTAAACATAATCTCAGGTTACTTTATCTATTAGTGAATTTTTAATAAACACGTCATGTTTCTCTTGAAACTAGAGGAACTTAGATGGTGTTTCTTGAATGTAAAAACATCCAAATAACAACATGGAAACTGGATTATAAATCTAAAAAAAGTTCTCATAGCTAACATGTTTTTGAAGTGTTAGATAAAAATTTCAGATAATATTATGATGGCAGTACAAATGGACAGAATAATCTCTAGTGACTGAATTCTTTTTAATGTACATAATAAAAATATCATGATGACTCATTGTTACTTAAATACATTATATCAAGAGATTGATGAAGATTCCTTTTTTGTGTCATGCAAAAACATATCCTGTTGTGCTACACTTGCTATCTGTAAATAATGGGGTTTAAAATCTTGGTGATCTCTTATTACTTCATGGTGATGAACTCAGACTCCTCTGCTGCAGTTCCGTGCTGATGTACATATGCATATTTCATGATTCAAGTCCTCTTGTTCTAAATATTTAGTGTCTAGCATATTGCACCCTGACTAAGCACTATCTATCTCCTCTCTTAAACACTTCTAATAAAACAGCGTCCATTCTTACCTTCCACCGGGGATCATGGTTCCTTGAATTTTTCCATTCAGACTCTTGACTGCTCTCAGGATCTTGTAGTATAATAGAGTTAACATTAGTATAGTATAATATAATAATAGTATAGTATAATAATAGTATAATAGAGTTAACAAGGGGAATTTGGTGTCATTCTTTTCCTTGCCTTTTCTCTAAGAGGAAAGACTTCTTTGTAAAAACAATGTGAGCTTATGCCTTGGGCTCATAGTAAGTTTCTATTTGGCAGATAGTACATAGCCTTTACAGGACCTGGTAGTGTTGGGTACTTAGAACTCCTCCCAATTGTAGACCGATTGATTTTTTTGATGAAATTTACTTGAAATATTTACTGTGGTCAAATTGTAATATGTGATCCTTTAGTTGAATGATTTCTTTTATCTATTAGTGAATATCATCTACATCATAGGAAATTGAAAATAGAGTTTAAAATGTCTTCATATGAACTTGTTACTAAATGTCACTAAATACAATGACTTTGAATGTTTTATTTGTTTTTTATAATGTATATATTTATGAGATATGCTAATCATTTCTCCCTTATTTTTTTTTAACAGATTACCAGAATTGAAAATGTCAACCATTTGTGTGATTTGAGAGTTTTGAATCTTGCCAGGAACCTTTTGGGTCAAGTTGATAATCTTAATGGACTGGATTCACTAACTGAACTTAACCTGCGACACAATCAAATCACTTCTGTGGTGAGTGTTAAAATGGAATCAATATGTGCCCTTTAAGGAAATTATACAAACATTACAGCATTGCTTTACACAAAGTTAGAATCTAAAGTTATTTATTTTTCTGAATTTAAATTGTGGGTATAATTATTAAGTTTTAAAATATGTTGATTTGGAAAATAGTAAGTTTTCCTATTTTAAAGGACATATGTGTGTGTGTGTGTGTGTGTGTGTGTGTATAATAGAAACAGAAGTATTATCACTAAATGAATCAGCTATCACTAAATGAATACTGAATCCTTTCTTGTTTTGTCATGGGTAAGAATGAGAAAGAAGGAAGGTTATTGGTGAATGATAGGATTGATGAATTAAGAAATTTTTGCAACAAGGAAGAAAAGGCACAGAGAGGAGAAGTGGGGTTGTGGAGATTCACATTAACATGCGTTGTGGTTTTTTTAAGAGGCTGCTTGATAGAGTGGAAAGAACATTGCAGAGGGTATAAAAGGCCTAGTTCTGGTCTCAGCTTCACTTCTAATTATGTGATGTTGGGTAGATAACATATTCTCTGGGCCTCAGTTTAGTTTTTTCTAAAACAAGGACATTGGGCTAGATTGTCTTTAGGGTCTTACTGGCTTATTGATTCTGAAAAAACACTTAACACGTTTTCTTTATTTAAACACTGTAAAAAAAAAAAAAAAAAAAAACCAAAAAACTACTCTCTGGTAGAGTTGAAGCACCTTGTAAAGGCACAATCTAACATAGCTCTTTCAAGATGTTGAGTTCCTTAGTCAAGACTTAAGTGTGCTATAAGTAGTATACTGGAAAAGGTTGAGACAGAAGATGCCTTATCTCTAGTTTCATTTTGAAGTTTTCTCAGAAAATCCAGGCCATGTAATGCTCATATCTTCTAGAAGGTTAGAATCATTTCAGACTCTTCTTTAAGACATGGATTTATTCTAGAACTTATAAATGCTATTTATCCCTCCCTAGATAGGGTATGAATATTGGAATTGGACTACTTATCTTAAAAGACATGTATATAGGTTAATCTTTTGCATTGCTACATCTCCAGAAACTGCTCAGTCAGGACTTAATCTGTCCTCAGAACACTGGGTCTGGTAAGAATCCAAAACAGAAATCTATCAGCCCTAGCACTTTCCTGTCTATATTTTGGCTTTCTTTTGGAAAGTACATAATACACATCCTGGAAATTGCTTACTAGATTTCCCATTGAGTATTATCTTTAATCATTACTGTTATAGCTTAGGCAGCAATAATGTCTTATGGAAAGGAAATTGTATTAATTTCTAAAAATTAAAAAAAAAAAAAAAACGGGGTTGTGGCTCGGTGGTAGAGCGCTTGTCTAGCATGTGTGAGGCCCTGGGTTTGATCCTCAGCACCACATATGAATAAAAAAAATAAAGTAAAAAAATCATTGGCAACTAAAAAATATTTTAAAAATAGACAGTAGTAAGTATTGTATATATTACGTAGCTGTCAGAATGATGGGTATGATACATGTTCATTATATGAAATTGTGAATATAAATATAAAGATAATCTGAGGATACAATATTTTTTCCTTTCCTTGGGGCAGTTATCACACTTAATGTTTTTTTCTTTCATGATTTTGATTTTTTTTCAATGACTGTTAATGCTTAAATGAAGGACCACATTAAGTAGTGGCTGAATATTCTGTGCAGCTGAACAATTCTTTTTTTTTACCATGAGAATACTCTCTAAAATAATCAGTGGATTGTGTGACTTTTGAATCCCACACATTGGCCTTTCGTTTAGGGTGAGTGAAAGAGGAAAAGCAGGTTCACTGTGTAATTGCCCAAATAAGAAAGATTTGGCTTTGGGGGATAGGTAGACTTTAGTTTCTCTTGTGCCAGGAAAAACTGCCATTTCTTCTTCTTTTCCCTCTGATTGTGTTGTAAAGTCATTAACTATCTCCATAGGTAAAATACCCACACTCTCCCAACCTATCTTTACTAATAATTCATTTTGTTTAGAGACAGTTCTGAGGCTTCAGCTAAGGAGTTCTTCAGGGAGCTTCTCTGTATGTGCTTTATATAGATGATATGAGTGGGAGCCGGGTAGATTTGTTTGTGTTCCAGAAATAGCTGTTGAGTAGACAGACCTTCAATTACACACCTACTTGATTTGTCATAGTTAACTACAATCTCTGCCTGCTCTTTGTCTGTCCTCACTCTCATCATAGATTAAGATGGCCTTCTGTCAAGAAAGAATGTCTGCATCAAGTGCAATATCTCCCTGCAGTTTTAAACCACAGTTCTCTCCACTCAGAGTCTCTAAGATCCCATCAGCTTTCCAGCTAACTGAAATTTCATCAAAAATGTTGGCCTGTGAAGGCATCTTTCATTTTCATGATTTTTGTGAATGTACTGATTTTAGTGTGTTTTATATTTCTTTACCCATTGCCTACTTCACCATCATGAGGAGAAACTTCTGATTTTTTTTTAATACTGGGAATTGAACCCAAGGACACTCAACCATTGAGCCACATCCCCAGCACCTCTTGCCCTAGCCTTTTAAAAAAATTTTCGTTTGAGACTGGGTTTCCCTAAATTGCTTAGGGCCTTTCTGAGTTGCTGAGGCTGCTTTAGAACTTGCAATCCTCCTGCCTCAGCCTCTCAAGCTACTAGGATTACAGACATGTACCACTGTGCCTGGCCTGATGTTTTTGATATAGAATAGTTATTGTTTGTTTGTTCATTTGCCAATCTTTCTCTTGAAAATTTTATACATGTCAAACTATCTTTTAAGCTTGTATGGTTCCTTCCACATATGAGAGAAAAATTCAACCTTTGATTTTCTGAGCCTGACTTATTTCACTTAGCATGATGTTCTTCATTTTCATCCATTGACCAGTAAATGTCATAATTTTATTCTTCTTATGGCTAAGTAAAATGCCCTGGTATATGTTTATATGCTACAATTTCTTAATGCATTCATCTGTATTGTCAGGCATCTGGTTGATTCCATAATTTGGCTGATGTGAATTGTGCTTCCTTAAACATTGAGATAGCTATATCACTATAGTTGGCTAATTTTAGTTTATTTGGATAAATACCAACGAGTGGAATAGGTGAGCCATATGGTGGTTCCATTCCTAGTTTTTTGAGGAGTCTCCATATTGCTTTCCAGAGTGTTTTTGCTAATCTGCAGTCCCACCAGTAATATACAAGTATACCTTTCCCCCCATATCCTTGCCAGAATTTATTATTGTTTGTATTCTTGATAATTGCCATTCCAACTAGAGTGAGATGAAATCTTTGTGTAGTTTTGATTTGTATTTCCCTGATTGCTGGAGATATTGAACATCTTTAGTATATTTGTTGGCCATTTGTGTTTCTTCTTTTGAAAAAGTCTTTGTTTAGTCTTTTGTCCATTTATTGGTTGGGTTGGTTTTTGAGTTCTTTATATATTCTGAATATTAATATTAATACCCTCTCAAAGAACCAACCTGCTGCTGCAGTCTGGCTGGGCACAAAATAACTGAGCCACCACAAAAGCCTTGTAGATTTAAACAGCAACTCTTTATTCCCGAACTCTCACCGGCACTCTACACACACGTTCTGGGAAAATACACTCCCTCCACCAGGCTCTGCGTACCAATACTCCCAGAACCCTGCGAGAACTCAACGGGAACTCCAAGAGCGGGCGCCTGAGGCAGCAGGATACGCCCTAATCCTGGATCTGCCCTATTCCCAGCAGGATCCACCCTAAACCTGGAGCCACCCTATTCCCAGCAGGATCCACCCTAAACCCAGAGCCACCCTAATCCCTGAGCAGGGTCACCTTTCAACCCAAAATGCCATGCTTCATTCCTATTTAGCTATGGCTCTCAGCATCTCCCCCCTTCTGATTAATAAAACAACAAGCAATGTGGCTTAGGGACCATGCCTGTTAGGTTGTCCAATTCAATATATGGTTCTTACCCGTCATTGGATGAGCTGACCTCAAGGCGTCAGCCTCCTGTCTTAGGTTGGTACCACTGCAATTGGATCATACCCGTCACTGACTACTGGTCCAGCATACAGCCATACTTGTGGATAGGCCTATGCACCAGTGAGGGGGTAAGGTTCTTTGCCTCACCTCTGTTGGCCCCCAAATTTAGACCATCACTAGTAGAAGGGAGGAGGATACAGAAATGCCACTACACCAAGCCAATTGACGGCTCCTTTGGAAAAATTGCGTAACTGGTGACACCATCAGCAAAGATATGCCAGCACTACCACAATTCACTGCACCAACAGATAGTTCACAATGCATACAAGTGATACATAGTCCAGGCAAGTTCTGCAAGCAGTTCAAAGTGGAGGAATCTATCAATATGTCCATTTCCTCCCAAAGTAAATCAACTCCTTGACTGAGTATTACTTGTTGAGTTATTATTCATTGATGCATCAGTTTATACAGTTTACTGTGATAGCTATCATAGAAGCTGTAGTTTGGTTTTATCTTTGTCTTCACTGGCACTGGGATGAAGATAGGAATTCTGGCAATGATGCTAAAAAGAAATTATGTAACATTCCAACAGGTACTAAGAAAACAATTTTCTGAACAATTTACATTATCCTGAACAGAATTATTAAATATAATGAAAAGGAAAGGTGAAAGTAAACAAACAGATCTGTTAACCTCCTTATTTGTACACATATTAAAACAATCCTCAACAGCTGTTTACCCAATTTAAATTAAACCATTAAAATCACGTGAAAAAAAAAAGGCTGACTGCCTAGAGGTCAGCTCATCCAATGACGGGTAAGAACCATATGTTGAATTGGACAACCTAACAGGCACAGTCCCTAAGCCACATTGCTTATTGTTTTATTAATCAGAAGGGGGAGATGCTGAGAGCCATAGCTAAATAGGAATGAAGCATGGCATTTTGGGTTGAAAGGTGACCCTGCTCAGGGATTAGGGTGGCTCTGGGTTTAGGGTGGATCCTGCTGGGAATAGGGCGGCTCCAGGTTTAGGGTGGATCCTGCTGGGAAT